TTACTGCATTTTATGGAGCAGAGGATGAGGCATAAGCTTTAGACGTTTCGATTGTCCATTATTTTTGGGAAATTATTGAGAAATATTCAATTTGGATCTATTTCAAAATGGTCATTTACTGTGTGCCAACTTTCCTTCCGAAATTAATTTCTTAAAAACCCATCAAGCCAGGATCGATTAGATTGCTGCATTGGATAGAGCAGAGAACAATACAGAAAGCCTCAGCGTCTAGATTTTACATCATGATATGCAATTTTTGGGAAGTTTTCTGGTTTGCCTCGCAAAATCGCCTTGAAAAAAAAACATACTTTGCAGCCACTGTTCGTATAAAACTAATTTTTTGAAAACTGGTAGAACAGGGATCGATTTCGTTACTGCATTTTATGGAGCAGAGGATGAGGCATACGCTTTAGACGTTTCGAATGCCCATTATTTTTGGGAAATTATTGAGAAATATTCAATTTGGATCTATTTCAAAATGGTCATTTACTGTGTGCCAACTTTTCTTCCGAAATTAATTTCTTAAAAATCCATCAAGCCAAGATCGATTAGATTGCTGCATTGGATAGAGCAGAGAACCCTTAATAAATGTCGGACCAGTTGAATTAGAGCATGTGGATTGCGAAATTTTTTACTGTAAATTTGCCTGACTATTTTGTAGTAGTTCCGGTTTTGCACCATCATCATGGTATTTTGCAACTTTTCTCAATTTCAAAGGCAATTCTTTGTCACCGCAAAAAAAATTTTGGGAAATTTGGAAATTAGTTATCTGGAAATAATCCATTTTGTGCCCACTTTCTCCAGCAATTAATATCACGAAAACGAATAAAGGCAGGATCAATCGGATTACTGCGTTTTAAAGAGCAAACGACGGTACATAAGACCTAAACGTTATGATTTTTTACCATCTTCAGGCTATTTTTGAGAAATTTTCAAATTTATTGCTTCTCGAAAAAAATTGACTTGATGCAAACTTTCTTGAAGAACTTAATTGCTTGAAAACAAATGGCGCAAAAAAAATGTCTGGGTCGAATCACAATGTTCCTTGGCAAACATGGTGTTCCGTTTGAAAAAGCATAGAAAAATGTAATAACTTAACTCAACTAAACTACGCAAAACAATGTATATTTACCGGCTACTTTGATGTTGTCTTTGCCGCTCTTCTCGTTGGCCTGCCTATGCAGCTTGGACAAGATTGGGGACGGCGCGGTTAGAAAGTCTCTCAGGTAGTATATGGAAGTGGAAGCAATATTGGGAAACTTTTGGGCCAGCTTTCCCAGGCCTTCAAGGCACACCATCAGAAGGGGCATATGAGCTAGAACCAGTCGATAGCCGTGACTGGAGTTGATTTTCTCCGAGAGTCTGCCGCAGAGACTATCTGCACCTAGAGAAAAAGAGAACAACATGAGAACAATATGAGAGCCACACGAGAACAATATTGCTGTTAGTGAAAAATCGAAATTTCAAGTTGCACAGTTATCAAAATTGAAGATGCAAAACTCGGCCAAGGGCGGTGTGAACGAAAGAACAACAGCAAAGCCACACCAAATCCACACAAAATATCATCACCTAGTACAGTGGTTAAAAATTGCACCAAAGTTGAAAAGTTATATTCCAAGTCCACTGCAAGAGATAGAAATTACAGAAAGCTAAAGAAAATTAAGTAACTTCAGTGCTATTTAACATAATTATTTGATTAAGTGCTGGGTAAAAAGTGAATTTACCAGTTTCATCTCCAATAGCCCAAACCAGTAAATCCACACATGCAGCATTGGCCATTACGTTGACCTTAAATTTGTTGACCAGTGCAAAGTTGTTCTCCCGATCTTCCTTCTCGCTGGCATCGTGATGTCGACTTTGAAGCTCAGTCTGGCCATTCAAGTATAAACCTGCAACACAACAAAAAATTGCCCACTTCCTGTGCTTCAACGTCCTCTCATACCTTTAACAAACTCTTGGACGTCTTTGGTGAACGGCACTGGTAAACTGTTCTCAGGCTGCAACAACTCCCGCATCAACGTAACCATCACCAAGTTGATGGTTTCCGAAAACGTTTTGTAAGGGAAAATCTGGATTTTCCCAGTCGCATGGATTTCCAGCGACTGTTCATCGATCAGCGTTAGAATCTCTTTGGTCAGCAGTTTCTTGCTCAGTGTCAAGATGGTGATCAGGTGGTTCTGCGTGAAAACTATGTTGCGTTTTTTGTCGCCGGCGTCGCTGATTCTTAGATGAGGAAACTGATTGAAGCTGGAACCGAATTTTGCGAAAAAGTACGTCGTTGGGTCGAAAGTGTTGACGCGCTGCTTAATTGCTGATCCCCTCTTCAGACTGTCTGCGCTGTAAGCTATGTCAGTCGTATCATATCCCTAAAAACCAATCATCCTTACAGGGTGTAATTTTTTCTTGCAGCTAAAGGCCGATGTAATAGATTTTTAAAAATATCGCTGGATTTATGCGTGGTGCGAACCCTGTAAGCAACACGATTTCTCCTTTAGAAATAAATGGCTCCCACACCCAACCAAAAGTATTACAAAAGGTTTACAATAAAAGGACACTCCTAGAACCTGAAGACAAACAGGCAAATAATAAATAAGTCTGATTCTATACTCTTAGATTTATTGGTTACTAAATCGGAGCGATTGGTTGTTGGACAACACGGATTTTTCAAAATTTCGTCAAAAAAAACCCGAAAGATAAAATCGCCTGCTTTAAGTGAGGAAAAACTCACTTTAATAGAAAATTGATGGGATTTTCCAGAATTTTTTCAGATATTAAATCAAAGCGATTAGTTGTTTGACGACACGGATTTTTCAAAAATAGCCTAAGAAAATACCAAAATTTTCCCAATTTTATAGTTGGCCCATAATATAACTCGAAAGACAAAGTCCACGGCTTTACGTGAGGAAAAACCAGCTTTAATTGGAAATTTCTGACAGTTTCCAGTATTTTTCCAGTTACAAAGGCGAGGCAATGGGCAGTTGGTAAACACAAATTTTCCAAAAATTTGACAAGAAAAGCAAAAACTCCCACAATCCGGCTCATAATATCGCTCGAAAAAAAAAAATTGCTGCTTTAAGTGTGGAAAACTCATTTTAATAGGATTTTTCTGGGAGTTTCAGGATTTTTTGAGTTACGAAAGTATGGTGATTGGCCGTTGGTCAAGGCAAAAGGAAAAACCCCCAGCACTGTCCATAATATCCCCCGAAACAGAAAGTGCGAAGCTTTAAGTCAGGAAAAACTGACTTTTATAGGCAAGTTTCCAGGATTCTCAGTTACTAGGGCGAGTCGGTGGTCGATGGGAAACACGAGTTTTTAAAAAAATCGTCAATCGCATCACTCGAAAGTGACAATCCGCTGCTTTAAGTGAGGAAAAACTGCCTTTAAAGAAATTTCTGAGAGTTTCCAGGATTTTTTCAGTTACTAAGGCAAAGCGATTGGCTGTTGAAAAATACTAATTTTTCAAAAATTTTACAAGAAAAACCCAAACATTTCACAATCCAGCTCATAATATTGGTATAAAGAGAAAATGCGCTGCTTTAAGTGTAGGAAAAACGCACTTCAATGTGAGATTTCTGGGTGTCCAGGATTTTGTTGGATACTAAATCGACGCGATTGGTCGTTGGACAACACTTGGTGTTGGTCGTTGGACGCTGGTCCCAAAAAAATATATTTTTGCAGCGATAACTTTTCTGCAATTGAACTAACATTCTGAATTGCATTAAATCTGAATCTGAATTGCACTAAATAACGCTTCAAGCAGAAATCAGGTCGCTCTGAGTAGTCAGAATGTATCTAGTTCCAAAATTAATCGAAATTTGTCCGTGTAATATTTATTTTGTTGAGCAGTTTAGTTTCAGGTTTTCAAAAATACCGTGTATTGTTTAATAAGTGTTAACGTTATTCTAAGATAAAAAGTCAAGCGTCCGCAAGGCATTACTTATCGCACTACAAGGTGTTAAAAGATTAGTTTTAAATACTGTTTTTCGAAGTAATCATACCGATATTTGGACGAAAGCTGGAAACGTTAATCTTGGTTTAGCTGTTACCTCTAGAGGGCGCTATCTCTAGGGTCTTTTTCTCCCACTACGTAATATTTGTTAGCAAACATGTCAACAGCGCGCCGTGTTTGTGGTTAGTTTTTCAGTGTTGCTCTTCAAAATTTCATGTGAATAATGATTTACGAAAATTACTGTCGAAGACTTTTATCAGTCAAATATCCAACATGACGCACAAAATCACTGTGTTGTTAATTACAAACAAATTGATTCTTCTGAGAAAGCAAAAGTTGTTCAAAAAAGTGAACAATCTAGACTTTTTCTGAGCCTTGAACTCAGTATCAACTAATAATATTTTTATAATGTAGATGACTTAAAATGATCTGGAAACCCCGGTAGTTTCTTAAAAATACTTGGCTGTTAATCTTTCTTTCCCAAAATCAGCCACTTATTGATTAACTGCAGGATCTAGAAAAATCCAACGCGTCTCAAGGTTCAAACCACATTAAAATCCATTTGCAATTTAGCCACTGTTTCTAAGCATTGGCCATAATAAACAATGAAAATTTTGTACTCACTTGTGTGATAGCCAGTATATCAATCGTGGCAGTCAAGTTCCCCGACAAACTTCTCGGAATGATGCTTCTGAAACTGCTAAAACTTTTACTGTACGGAGCTTGAGTGACGGGAGTGCGTCCCAAAGGAGGCTCCGGCTTGGGAAATAATCTACAGATCAGAGGCGGCTCATTGAAAGAAAACCGGCCCATAGCTCTGGAAAGTCCCACCAGAACAGGCAGAGTGGTTTTGCACAGAAACAACTTGGAGCTGCTATTGCAGTTGCTCGGATCCTGCATCTTCAGCACGTTATTAGTCAAAGTGGCCATGCACTCCACTTGGCTGCTGATGATATCCTCTGTGTACTCCTCACATTTTACCGCTATGTCGCTTAACAGAGTGTGAAGACAGAAGCTGAACCTTTCTGCCATCGGTATACCTGAAAAATTACATGTTTTGAGCAAATCAGTTCAAGGGAGATTGTTCCGTGGCTTACGGTCAGTGGCGTGGTATTTCAGCTCGTCGGTCCATGTCGCTTTTTCCAGACTCTTTGCCAAGTGCAGTAAGTATTTGATAATTTTTTCCTTATGCTGCATTTGGGATTCCAACAGGTAAATTCCGAGCGCAAGCGCAGCGTCCTGTTGACGGCAACTTATGCAAATGCTACCGCTCGGAGACTCGGTGGGGCACATTTCGTATAGCATTTTGAGCTGAAACCAAAACTAAATTTGCAAAAAAATGTATGTACCGGGTGAGCCAAATTGGACACTGTTAAATGGAAACTCCTATTTCTGGAATTTTTCAGACTTTCTACTAATCCATTTCCAGATCACTTTTTCACGTAGTATCCAATAACGTAAGTTTCATTTGCGGTAAAAAATACATGTTTTTAAATAGGACACTCTGTATATGTTTTCATATTTAACTTGCACCTGGAATTATATTTCCAAAAATATAGCACATTTCATGGTTAGCTTAAGCATTTAATGAAATATAGGGGTCTAATTATAATTTTTTTCCAGTCTAGACTGCAGGGGCCCGCTTTGAACTAGTAGCTTCTGGATGACGCGGCGAATGCCATTGTCAATAATGGCAGTTGTCAAAGTTTGTATTGATGTTGCTGCTGTTTTGATTGAAACTGCAGTTTTTATTGATGTTATTTAGATCCTGCTTATTTCTGAGCTTTAGGGGAATTTTCGAAATTAATCTGAAATGAAATATGAGAATTATGAAGCGGGATTTCATAGTTTGCTTCATACAAATTGGGGATATTAGAGAGGCAGCGAGCAACTTGTGCCAGGAACGGCATCCAGAAAAAGACAGGCATTCAGGGACATTTTCACAAGATTGCAATTTAATCCAAACAAATTATGGTCAATTTGAAATGAAAATACCAGAAAAGAGTTAGAAGAAAAAACATAGAAACCGTTCAAAATAGTCCGAAAACATCAACCCGAAATCCAAACGTTAAAAGAACTTTTTCACTTTTTCAGTCCAACTTTATTCAGAACTTAATTGTTACAATGTACGATATCCAACAGTCTTAAAGTATAAATAAAATCCTAGCTATTTACACGCATTAAAATTAACTACTAATAGATAGAGAAACAATCGAGAGTGCGCATCGCAACTGGTTCAAACAGTTCTGCACGATCTCACGGAAAGGACTTATGCCTCTCGGCAGTCCACCCAGCCGAAGCCATAGAGCCATTTATGCACCTATCCCAGCCAAACCACCATTCCCCGCAATTGGGAATCGGGGATCGGTGAGATTCTGGCAACTCTTAACCCATATCTGAACCTATATGACACCTTAACCTATATCTTAACCTATATAACCTATTTCTTAAAAAGTGCGCTACTCATCACCCCATTTTAATTACAAAGAGCAACGTTGGTGTCCGTCAAGTGTCCGACACACGCACAGATCACTAACCTAACTACAAATGAGCTTATCCTACCTAGCGCTTTAACATTAGAACGCCTCGTGGTGCTGTCGAAAAGCGACCCCCGGCAGTCACAGAGGAGAGGCAGGGCTACGACCGAATCGCCCCTCTACCGGCACCCAGAGTCGCAGATTCCTCCCGTCCATCTAGTTGATGACTTCAGCATACTCTACAAACATACTAACCATACTCCCATCTCTCCTCCCATCCATGCCTCTCAAGCGCCAGCAGGAATTCTCCGGAACTAAACTCTCATGCACAGCGTTCCTGACTGGTTTCATACACACCGTCCTGGCGTGCCCAGCCGTCCAGCACCCAGACCACATTCACACCCACCAAAGCCCCTTATTGTAAACCCGTGTAAGTAAGCACGGAAGTTTCCGTGCCCAGTTGCAAGCTGCAGCGCCTTTTTATTCAAACCCAGCGTACCCTTTCCCACTTTGTCACACACCTCATATAATTCTCTCCTCTTCTTACTACTGGACCAGAGCCTCTGCTACTCGTCCATGACCCAGGATCGCATCCGACTTCTGACCTGCCCTTTGGTTATTTGTGCCGGGACCTCCACCACGGGTGTACCCCAGAGCGCACAGCTGGCTACCTCATCCACGTCGACTGCACCAACAGAGCCCATACGAGCTTCCCACTGCACTGTGACCCCCATACCACCATTCCTCATCGCATAAAACTCCCTCTGTACCCCAACAGCTCCACAGACAGTGATTCATAATCATTAATTGCAAGTAGGTCATCCCTAAAGTCCGTCCACACTACCGCACAATACAAAGAGACCTCAAATTCATCAGGGCCTTTCCAATTGCTGCGATCTTTATGCCATTCACACTCTTACCACCACATCAACCCATTTATCAGTAACCTTCTCACACTCGCTGCTACATACACACCACACACCAATAGCCCCTTTCTCACCCGCAACTGCCGCATCACACGACTCATTCCAAACGGTATTCTCCCCCTGAATCGTCTCTCCTCCTGCAGCATTTTGCAGCCGCTTGTGCGGAGGGACCCGCTCCGACTATCACTCCACTATAAAATCTATGCCTGCCCAAACATTCCAGCCACACTGGGGGGGACCCGTACACGACCTGCAGCGCCTCCCTGGACTTTGGCACTCTTCACCACTCCTCATAATTCCTCGAATCTTCCCACACCCTGTACCCACTCTCACTCTCACACACTTGGCATGTTCCAGGAAGAGAGCAACTTGGCGTCAAGCACAACTTCAAGATACATCACCGTCGTGGATGGGACTACCCTAAGCTCCCCAGTGTTAAGCACAGGAGGCCGGATGTTGCCATTCGCAGGCAGGAACAGCGCCTCCATCTTTCCAGCGCTATACTCCACGGCCGCGCCGCCAGCCCATGTTTTCTGTTCCTCCCAGACCAGGCGAAACATTCTTTCAATCTGCTTTGGTGACTCGGCCCCAAGCAGCCCCACCTGATCATCCGCATAAGCCTGGGACGTCAGCATCCGCACTCTTGCATTTATACCTGTCACGTCTCTTCCATCCTTCTCCACACACATTCTCTCTATCCTATCGTCTGACCGGAGCCATCCCTCCATGACCGTGAGCCATAGAGTAGGGCCTAGACTCGATCCCTGCGGACAGCCTTTCCCAATCTTACACCACAACCGGAGACCACGCCATGTTGAAGGCGTTGCTGATCTCCAGCAACACCAACAACTGATGTTTGCCCGGTTTTCTACCCTCTTTAATTTCCTCTACTAATCTCGCTACTGCATCCACAGTGCCAACTCCCTTCCTGAAACCGAACTAGATCCTTCCATAGAGTGGCATGAAGCTTATGGGCCGAACACCATCGGAGCCCTTCAGTAGCCAGACAATCCTGGCGCACTTCCAGACAAGTGGAAAGTACGTCAATCTCAGACACTCCTCATACATGTTTTTCACATCCTTCTCTCTCACCCGACACACAAACTTTATCCTCCCCACCGCATCACTAACCTCGTCTCCCAATTTATCACACCCATCCATCTTCCGCTCCCAATATTCATCCAAACCTTCCAGCAAATTCCTCTCACTCACACTCAGCTCTGGATGGTACTTCCTCACCAACGAATCCCTCTCCTGGCCATCCAGCAGCTGCCCATTATCATCGACTATAGGAGTTTGCTTTGCGGCTCTCTTCCTTTTCATGACCTTCCACACTTTGTCTACGGGTTAAAGTCGCACACACTCTCAATATCTCTTTCAACCCACTCCCTCCTTTCTTCCTTGATCAGTTGCTTGAAGAAGCGCCTCTCCGTCCTGTACGCATTGAGTCGCTCGAGCTGGATGTCCTCCGAAAAAGAAATCCTTGCTCTCTGCCATCCTTCTCGAGGTCTTCTGACCCTCCTTCTTCGCATCTGCAGCTCTCTGTCCCACCATTCATTCGTGCTATCCTCCAGTACTGTCACCCTCCTGATACACCTCTTACTAGGGATGGTCGGTATTTAACGTAACCGCTAAAATAACAGTGTTCCAAACGTGTAACCTGAAACCGTAGTTACAGCTAGCCGATTTAACCGTTTTTTTTGGAACCGTCTCATAAAACTGAAACAGCGGTGCGCACTTCGGACATCGTCGAGCGATCTATCCAGCTGCAGCCGTTTGCCAATTTAAACCGTTGTTTTTGGAACAGTCTCATAAAACCAAAACTGTTGTGCGCACTTCGCACCAGCTGCAGTCGTTTGCCGAATAAAAGGTTTTTTTTGGAACCGTCTCATCAACCTGAAAAAGTGGTTCGCGTCAGCACGCGTCGAGCGCTCTCGCTCTATCCAATTGCAGCAGTTTCAGTAACCATTTGTCAACGGAAAATATGTTGTCTGTAACTGACAGATGTCAGCATTAGAGGTGTGCTAAACGGTTTTTTTCTGGTTACAACAGGTTACAACGTTTCAGTTTCACCTTGGTAATAGGTTTCAAAATGCGGTACCAAAAGGAACATGTTACTTTTAAAATTTTTCATTAAAAATGCAGAATGATGATGACAGTAGAAATAGTGATGATATACAGTGTGTCGCACTTAAGATGGAAACACCCCTGTATTTTATTTATTTTTGGAAACAGGGTTTTTAGTTTCGGTACAGAGGTAGAACGTCATGAGCTTAATTGGTTAGGGTACCCATTTCTAACTTCAGATGAAAACCCAGCCTCCTACGACTTTGCGAATAGGGGCAATTTGCTATATTTTGCAATGCGTTAGAGATATCCGAAAAAGTTAATAGAAAAAGTTGTTCAGAATGTTATTTTAACGGTAAATACCGAGATTCAAGTTCGTGCGAGTTCTGTTAAATTAAATGTAAGTAAAGACAAAATTAGAAGATGCACACGTTGAGAGAAGGTGATGACTTGAAACGCTTAGAATATTGCTTGTGGGCCCAAGGAACTTGGGTACCCTAACCAATTAAGCTCATGACGTTCTACCTCTGTACCGAAACTAAAAACCCTGTTTCCAAAAATAAATAAAATACAGGGGTGTTTCCATCTTAAGTGCGACACACTGTATATCATCATCAAGTAACATGTTCCTTTTGGAACCTCATTTTGAAACCTATTGCCAAGGTGAAACTGAAACGTCATAACCCGTTACCAGTTAAAAATAACCAGTCAATGTCAGTTACCTTTTGAAAATAATGCATAATCATGCCCATGCTTAAATTATACAAACAAATATTATTTGAGGAGAATGTGATGAATTTCATGTGCAGAACAGTGACACATTTTCCACTGGATATCCACA